TCAATAGGCACGGTCCCGGTCAGGGGTTTCGTTATTTGGTTTTTCGTACAGTTCCCAGAAGGTGATGTGTTCTCTACTTCAACCTATAAAGCGCAAGTCCTGATCGTAGTATTCAATCGACTTCAAATTAGGCGACAACATAAATTTCAGTGCTATGAAAGCATGCTGGATTTACACATTTCTATCCAAAAGAGAAAAAAAAACCTTCTCCACTTCCACGAAGCCATCGATGAGGAATGCCGTCCATTGATGACACCACACTGCAACACGAGACACTGTGCTACACGTGTCACCGATCGATTCACAGACGTGTCAGCTGATGCGAGGAAGTAAATTCACACAACCAACAGCCAGACATGCTGAACTACGCAATCCAGTGCTTTCCGCTACTTCTCGCGCCTCTGCGCATTGCCATTATTCCCACGATCCAGTTCATTGTCAACGCCCCCTGCCGCTTCGGTTTGTCCTCATTATCGGGCTCCTTCTTGTCCTCCACTTTTACCTCCTTCCTCTCCCTCACCATCGCCCCGTCACTCCCAACCTCCCAATCCGCCGTTCCAGAGACGTCAGGAGATCCAAACGAGTAGAACAGATGGAAGTCGTAGTAATTAGGGGTAAGTTATGCTACCGCCTCCGCCTCCTTCTTTCGCTTCTATCCTTTCTGTTTTCTCTCCTCATTCAACATTTCAATATTAGCTCAACTTTTAGTCCAGTCATAGCGACATATGTGGGCATAGCTTGGAGGAGCCTCCTTATGCGTATCGTTTAACAACTATGCATATTTCCTTCAACTAACTGAATTGTTTTATTTTTTTCTTTGTATATGGCTAGGAAAATTGGTAGGCTTGTAGGTGGGTGAATGCCGGAATCCACAAATGGACGGAAGGCGAAGAAAGCAAATGACGTAGTAAACAGAACCGTACAGGATATTCAACTCCTACCTTTTGTAGAGATACATACGCCGTCCATCTATGTCCATTGCTTTATGCTTCATTTGAGTCGTCTTATCTGGCCCCATCTCTCCTCTTCTCTTCCTTAACCCTCCTTCTCCTTCTTCTCCTTCTGTCACACAGTTATGTTACTTCGCCTCCACCGAAATGGTTCAATTACCTACATTGTTCTTCCTGGTCAGAGGCGACAATTCACCAAGAGATAGAATTAGGAACATTCATCAAGAACTCACGCTTGCTAGTTGCGTAGCAATGTTTAGGGGTAAGTGACTAATTCGTCCAACCCATTCATGCCACTTGCTACACTTATTGTGCCGTACCTTGCGTCTATGCCTCTCTTATGTGCATTCACAACCGCTAACTCGCCACTAGCATCAGTAACAGTAGTCATAGTGGCCTATATTACCTCGTCTCATAACTTTAAGAGTTGCCTATCCCACTTATAAAAGCACTAGATTACGTTACACTAGATCTGGCTTGACTTACGTACATTTATAGTGAACACAGGATGAGGGGGGAGACAGATATGAAATGTTGATGTCTTCTTCAACTGTTTAGACTGTGAATTATGACGAATTCTCTCTGGGGCTGCTCCGGATCTGGCGGTGGGACTGTTTACGGTGACTGCGGTTTTGAGTAGAGCATCAAGAGCAAAGAGTATTGGAGTGAGATGTCACAATAATGAGGTGAGTCTCCATGTTTACCCAACTGATATGTCAGTAAAATTGGACTGCTAAACGATTTCCTCCCTGAGATGGGACACACCCTTATTGAGCTTGAGGCTGTTTAGTGCATCCGCCCATTTGCATTTCAAACATCTCCTTTTTAGCTGGAATTGGCCGAACTCTACCTTGGGGACACTGGACCGTCCACAAGGCGAGCTCTCTAGCTTAAACAGTGCTGATGTACGAAGAGTGGAATTTTGGAGTACCGAATACATCAGTTCCATGTAGCACAAGCGGTGTGATTTTGTGCAAGTTGTGGTATCATCTGCTCCAGTGTTCCTCAACACACGTGGTCGTGAGCAACAGTTGGGAGCGGAGGAAGAGAATACAGAGAATGGGGCTGGAAGACGAGGACGGCAGTGTGACTTCAGTGCCAAGGCGACTAGTGAATGTCACATTGTGCTTTTGTTCGTTGCAGTTTGTCGACCAGCCGGAGCGTTTCCTGAGCAAATCGTGGTATATTACGAAGGTGATTGTGTTTCACATTGTGGTTGACATGCTGAGTTGGGAGGAGAGATGTGTGGTAGTGAGTGAGACAGTGAATTGAATTGGAGTTGCTTGTGCCTTGTAGATGACTGGTCAGTTGGAGAGGAAGAAGGAACAGGTAGGCGCACAATTGAGATGCTCGGATACATGCATTGCATAGGTGTGTGTATGTGTTTGTAGGTGATGGGAGTCTGGGTGTGCGAGAAGGGAAGGCGGTGGAGAAAGGAACGGAGACGAGGGTGAATGTGGGCGGGAGTAAGAGTGAGACCGTGAAGGTGACGACAAACAAGAACCGGGATGGAAATATGCAGGAGGAGGAGGAGGGGGAGGAGGAGGAGAAAGAGGATGAGGAGACGGAGGTGGTTGAGTTTGAGGCAAAGAAGAATGGAGGTGAGAAGGAGAAATAGAATGGAGAGGCTTTGGTGAATGTGGACGTGGCGAAGGAGGTAGAGGTAGAGTTGGAGGCTAGAGCAGAGGTGGAGATGGAAGCGGAGGAAGGGAAGACGAAGGTGCGAAAAGAGGGCTAGGATAGTTGAGGTCCATTCAAGCTCGTCTAGAGAGCCACCTCCGTCTACCTTGAGTCCGTACTTGTGTTCCAAAGGAGACTAAAGCGTTATGATGGAATTTACATTTAACAACATATTGTGAGGGGCATTCCAAATATGTGTAGCATCGGCTTGCAAGTAGTTTTGCTTTTAAAGCAACTCGCCTAGCAGAGGCATCCATCCGCGGGCAATAGAACTGGAGCACCCACGCAAGATGACGGCAATTTATCGGCCCCTATTATTGCAATGATTTGCAACGCTGATGAATTCACAGTGAGTCACGGCGGAGGATGGAGAGGCAGTTAAGGCAACTAATTCCTGCTATACAGTAATTCAAACTGGAGAAGACGAAACAAAGCGGCTGAGGGACGTTGATGATGAACTGGTTGGTGGGAATGACGACAATACACAGAAGTGCGAGAAGTAGCTGCAAGCATCGAAACGCGTAGTTCAACACGTCTGACGGTTGGGCGTGTAAATCACTTCCTCGCATCACCTGACACGTCTGTGAAAATCAATCAGTCGCACGTGTTGCGTGATGTGTCATGTTGCAGTGTAGTGTCAGCTCCGAACACCGTTTCCTGTCGATGGTTTCGTGGAAGTGAAAGGAGAATCTTACCTTTTAAGGATGGAATGGAGGAATCCAACATGCATTCATGTCATTTGTAGAGGACTGTTCTTATTTAAATCAGAGTCCTCACCTAATTTGAAGTGGATCGAATACCTATGATCAGGATTTACTTCTTATAGGGTGAAGTTGAGAGCACATTGCCGTCTGGGAACTCCATGGAAAACCAAGTGACGAGGCCCCTGGCCGAAACCGTGCCCATTGACTTCACTTCGAACGTGCTTCAAGCTGACCACAGTGAGGCGCAAACACAATTGCTACTTATATAGAGTGGGTAGAGGATTAAGCTGCGCTTAGTATCCTTAAGCTGAAAAGAGACTTGTTCACTATTAAAGCATTTATCCTGCAAAAAAATTTATAACTATGTAATGATAATATAAAATACATAACAGTTTTAGCTCGTTTCGTCCAGCATGGGCAGTCTATTGCTACCAAACATAGAATACACAAAGTACAATCTCAAGTGGAGTAGGACAAACTTGGCATTCTCGTGAATGAAT